CCCCCGAAAAAAAGGAGGGAGGGAGGAATCGCCAAAAATATAGTCCGGAAATAGTTTTTTTTTGAGAAAGAATAATCCAGAAATTGCTGCTGAAAGGATTCTTTTTAAAAAAAAAAATTAAGTTGTACACCCAGAGATTATTGCAGCACTTGAGGTAAAACCGGAAATAACTGAGGAATGAGAACCCAAAATCTGCCATTATGCCTCCAAAAACAGACAAAAAGGCTTCTGTTTTTGCACCAGGCGCAGGAAGAAATTCATTGAATTATTGCAAAGACACACCATTTATAACAAGGATTAGATGATATAAAACATTTTTTTGTGTAATTGATAGACAAAAGGTCACATGATGAAATGTTCATTCTCAAAAAAAGATCATATGATGGAATGTAGGAAGACTGATGAAAAGAAACTGTATAAGATATTTCTTGCTAATATAAACAAGAAAATGTTCAACGTAAATTACTTACTAGGTTTTCACTCACAAGAAATGTTACCTTTAAAATAAGTGACACAATTTGATGAAGTGCATTCTCCGCGTCACTAAACATATCGTCATTGTCTTTCGAGCTAATGATGATTACTCGCTCTTCATGGCGCTGCAAATATCAAATCCAGAAGTAAGTTCCCTATGCTTGGTCTCAAATCATTATGACATTGAGTGAAAAAGAGAACCAAGTGAACTAAACATTCCTAACTACGAAAACGACCAACAAGGATGTGACCTAGTGGTCAATGAACTTAGCACAAGCAAAAAATACTAGGTGATTTCTTCCCATCCGGCCAAGCCGTGGTGGGCAGAATTACATGGTACTTGTACTGGTCATGACACCACCGTCATTTTATATTAAGACCACGGAAAACGACCAACAAAACCAAATGAGGTCTGAGAAAAGGACTAAGATGGCCCTGACGACCCTCCATTGAATATTGACCTACCACCACCAGAAAGACAACCAAAGTGGCCTGTAGACCGGGCCTTATTGCTACCCTCTCGCTCCATTCTGTTATTCAATTTGCGGGTCTATATGGCTTGAGCGAATGCCACCATCTGACCATAATTCATATCAAAATTCCAGGTAGTTGTAGCGGCCTCATTAATTACCAAGGGACTAAGGCCCTGCACAAACCAGCACACTCTAGCCTCCATAGTGGGCAACATGTAAATAGCATACTTGGACAGGTACGCGAATCTCATATGGTAATCCCACACACTCAGGCTACCTTGCCTCAGGTTCTCAAACTCAATAGCACGGGCTGCCTTAGTCTCGGCAGACAAGAAATGATCAATGAAGGCATCGACAAACTCACCCCACTTCAATCAAGAAGCCAGCAAACCCAATCTCTCAATTCAACAAAGTCCCTTTCAGTTTTTCTCAATTAGATTCAAGCAGTTCGTAATATTCCTGAGCAAAAACTTCAAGACAAAGAATCTCTACTTTACACCTATATGTCATTTTCAAGCTTCCTGGAATTCAGCCAGCAATTAAAAAAAAATCTCCAAATTCATTCAATTCAACCACGTTCATTCGAATTCTCTCAATTAGGTTCTAAAAGTTCGAAAATTTTCTAGACATACAATTGCCAAATATTGCCCTACTTTAACCTAGAGAATTAGTTTCGACCTTAAGAACTTCACAAACAATATAACAAATTCAATAACGGAAAAAAAATTGCATTAACTCACAGCGATGGCATCAGCAATTTTGACAGTAGCTTTAGTTTCTTCACGAATCTTCTGTATACGATGCCCTACTTTACCAATAACTTTCCCGATCTGTCTTGACGGTACAACTATACGGTACACTACATCTTGGGCAACCTTAACCCGCTTCTTTAGCGGCGGGTCAGCGTCAGCCGACGACCCTGCCTCGTCCGTCGCGGTGGTGTATTCCTCCCGTGGACGTTTAGCGGTGGCGGACCGATTGGGATCTTCATTGGACGGTTGAGAAAGGACGGCGGCAGCTGGAGGTGGAGCTCCCGGAGGAGGAGGGTTAGAACTAAGGTTAGGGTTTAGGGAGGGTTCGAGTTGGTGAGAATGAGCCATTGAATTTGGGGGATAATAGGACATGAAGGGGAAGAGTTAAGAAAGAGGGAGGGGAATGAAAGATAAACCGTAAACGTACGACAGATCTACTATTTTTAATAAAGGGTTTTGAGTTTGTTAATATTACTTTTGTGACCTTGATATATGCTCTATTGCTCCTTTACATCACAATTACTCAAAGTTGGATTTTGGAGCAAGTAATTTACATGAATGATATAAAAATTTAGTTTAAAGAACAAATACTTATGACAAAAGAAAGTTACTAGTAGTATTATCCAATTAATGCATGTTTGTTCACCTTGCATTTTTTGTCCAGGCTCGTGAAAGCTTAGCTAGTGATTGAATATAGATGTGGTTGAAATTTGAAAAAAAAAAAAACGTTTTTGAAAATGATATAAAAAATAGCTTTTGAAAATTGAAATTGTATTTGGATATGTATTTTACTTGAAAAGAATTCGAAGTTTTGTGAGTAGAAAACCTCAAAAACTACTCTAGAGTTGTTTTGGAATTTGAAGATTTATTTTAAAATCTGCCAAAAAATAATTAAAATCTATAAACAAATAAGTATTTGAAAAAAAGCTCCCAAAGTCAAACGAGAGCTTAGTAATTCAAATGTTATCCACTCAGAATATTTGTCGATATGATCTTTCACCATTACTCTCTTCATTGGATAAACAATCATCATCGTGCAATCGTCAACTCAATTACTACTAAATACTAGTACTTAATATTAAAAGATTCGATAAATATTTCATATTTTATCAACAACAAAAAAACGTTGATAGTTCAAAGTATAAGCGTCAAAATATATACGTACCTTTTAAACTAAAGGAGTATATTATTATTATCTTAATTATTTAAAATAAACTTTATATAGAAGTATCAAATTCATTATATTTTATTATTTAAAAACCAAGAAAATATTCTTAAGAAATTATATTTTAAAAAACAAAAAACTACTCGACTACTCAAATAGTACAGAGGGAGGAGAAAAGAAATGATTGACCCTAATATACAAAATCTATAGTAAAGGCACAAAATTGCACCTTTTCAATTGTTCCAAAAGGACTCTAAAACCCACAGGGATGCCCTTGTGCAGTTACTGCTAGAAAAGCCGACAAACTCACCGGAAAGTGATCCCATGTCCTCCGACAACACTTGCCGGAATTAAACATTTTCCGACAGAGTCTCTAAACCCAGCTGAAACCCCAACTTCAGAAATGCTCTCCCGTTCTAAAACCCCAACACTTCAATCTCTCTATGTCATTCTCAAGCTCAAGTTTTTCTCCACAAACACCAAAAACACACACCAAAAGCTTCCAACTTTTCCAACACTATACAAGATTCCAGCAAAATATAGGCCTCAAGCCATTTTACAAGCTCAAGAAGTACTCACTGATTACTTCCATAACACTAGATCCTTACCCTTCACTTTTGCCGAATACATTGGTAAAAACTCAAGATTTTCCCTTTTGGGTCTTGTTTCTAAAGTCCCTTTTTCTCGTACTTGCTTTCCCAATTCCATTCAAAGGTTCTTAAGGTACCATCCCATTAATGAATTTGAGTTTTTCTTTGAAAGCATTGGTATAAATCATGTAGAAATTAGTCCTATGTTGCATACGAACAAATGCTTCTTGTCTGAAGATTCTAAAGTTTTTGATGCTGCTTGTGCTCTTGCTTGTTTTGGTTTCCCTTGGAACAAATTGGGTATTTTGTACAAAGGGCAAGTTTCTATTTTTAGTAAAGAGCCTTGTGAATTGAGATATAGGCTTTCACTTTTTGAACAATATGGGTTTGGTAATGTTGCTGTTATTGGTATTTGCTTAGCTTTCCCGCACGTGTTGGGTGGAACTAGTGGTTTCCTTGACGAAATTGATATGCTGTTTGATGATATGAAAATGGTGTTTCTTGATTTTGATCTTGCTAGTGAAGTAGAGGGAAATGTGGATGCTTGGTTTGAGATTTGTAGGAAAGTTGCAATTTTTTATGAATTGGGTTGTGAGAAAAGGAAGATTGGTGAATTGATGGGAAGAAATAAAAGCATTTTTGTTGATTATTCTGAAGAGGTTTTGGCTCAAAAGATTGGGTTTTTCTGTAGACTGGGTGTGAGAAAAGCTGAGGTTGGACTTTTGGTTCTGTCGAAGCCTGAGATTTTGAGTTTTGATTTAGAAGATCGTGTGATTTCGACAGTAGGATTTTTGAAACATTTCGGGATGGGTGTAAATAAATTAAAATTGACTGCCCAAACTTACCAATACATTATGGGTAGAAATAGAATAGCTAACATACCTCATGTTTTGAGATCGTTGGATCTAAGTGAGTGGTTCTTTGACAGACTAAAAAATGGTGGTCATGGTCTGTTAGGTAGCTATGTTATTGGCAGTGTTGAAGACTTTGACGAAGATTATGCGGAACAATTGCAGAAAATTCAGGCATCCAGAACACCTGTATATACCCGTCGAAAATTAAGTTTCTTGCATGGGATTGGCTTTGGAGAAAACAAGCTCACAATGAAAGTATTGTCTCAGTTGCATGGTCCAGGTGATGAGTTACAGGAACGGTTTGATTGCCTACTTTGTGGTGGAGTTAACTTTTCGACACTCTGCAGAATGCTTTCAGTGTCGCCAAAGATTCTGAACCAGAAAGCTGAAATACTTGATAAAAAAATAAAATTTCTTTTCCTGGGTATGGGGTTATCTCAGGATGAGCTTTGTGCTTTTCCAGCCTGTTTATGTTATGACTTGGAGAAGAGGATAATGCCCCGTTGCCAATTCCATAGGTGGCTTAGAGAACAGGATTGGTGTCCGTATGAATATTCTCTTGCAAGCATTGTTGCCACTAGTGATAAAATGTTTATGGATCGTATCTCTGACATTCATCCAGATGCCCCTAAAAAGTGGTTTGACAGTTTCTTGAAGGAAAATCACTCAACAGTTGCAAAGGTACATTAGAGCTCTAATTGTTTGCCAACCTTTTAGATGATTATAAAGTGAAAAGATTTTGACTTGTACATTCTGCTTGTTTTATGCTTTGGATAGCTCATTGTGAGATTGTAAAAGCAATTACGTGGCTTGTGAATGAAACACAAGATGTAACTCCGATTGTTGGCATTATAATAAAAAAAAGAAGAAGCTATTTTTGCCATATTTTATCAGCAGATTGTTTGGGTCAATGCTGGCTTGAAAGAGTAAATTGGCATCGTCAGTTTCGGACAATCAGAAGTAGGAACTGTCCAATGGCTAACAAGTTGTTTCCTTGTGTTTTTTTTTTTTTTCATTTTTCAAAACAATAACAATTCAACCATGAACAAAAGACCGTTTCAGTACAAAAGGGCTGATGTCGATATCTTCTTGTGTGATTGTGATGAAATGTGTACCAAATCAGATTTTGTCTAACTGTATTCCCATGAATATTTTTTTTTTGGGTCTGTTTTCAGTTGTATCTTGAGGACAATTAAGTGAGACTGTTTGGATACAAAGTAACTGCAGTTAAGTTGATCTGCCATTGTTCTTCCTTCCAAGGCGAAGAAATAGAAATGTAAAGAAATCAGAATACTGTCAATGTTATGGAATATTGAATGACTTCAGAACTACAAGACTACTGAAAATGTGCGTTTACTAAATACTAGTAACTGGAAAAGCCCCCCCCCCCACCAACAACACACACACCCCAAAAATGAAATTAACAGTCAATTTAGAGTCAGATACCACAAAGAGAATAATTTTATTGGTCTTTTTAACTGTTTATATGACCTTGCTTCAATTTTTTCCATTTTTGGTTGTTGAGAATTTTGCTCTACTTCCTAGATGTTGTTAATGCTTTCTTGACTTTTACACTACTGTATTTTTTTTTCTATACTGTTTTGATTTGCATGCTTGCTTGGAGCCGAGGGTTTACCGGAAATAATCTCTCTACCTGTATAAGGTAGGGGTAAAGTTGCGTACATAATACCCTCCCCAGATCCCCTATTTGTGGGATACACTGGGTTTGTTGTTGTTGTTGATGGTCGTTGAGAATTTGACTGTTGCAGATTATCAACTTATGGTCTACTCTTTCAAAAATGTTCTGGTTATCCACAATAAATTATACTCAGTTGTGTGTCCTTATTTTTGACAAGAGTGGGTTGCTCTAGTGGTAAGCACCCTCCACTTCCAACCAAGAGGTTGTGAGTTCGAGTCAACCCAGGAGCAAGGTGGGGAGTTCTTGGAGGGAGGGAGCCGAGGGTCTATCGGAAACAGCCTCTCTATCTCAGGGTAGGGGTAAGGTCTGCGTACACACTACCTTCCCCAGACCCCACTCTGGGTTGTTGTTGTTGTTGTTGTTGTTGTTGTTGTTGTTGTGTGTCCTTATACCTTTTGTTGCCTTCTTCAGCAATCTATGTCTCACCACCACACCTCATTGGGTAAGTAGGTGGTTGTGTGATGGTAGAAGTGGGTTGGAGAAGCAAAGAAGAGAAGGAGATTCCTAAAATGCCTTCATTTCAGGAAGCAACAATATTGTAATTTCAGTCGGATCAGGGCTTGAATTCCAACTTCAGGCACAGCTTGAATGATTGGAAAGTGTACACCGTGTCCTCGTTATAGCTTAAGCTTCACTATGTGAAGGGCAATATGTGTAGCAGATGTTCGCTATGTGAAGGGGCAAAATGAGGATAGCAATCACCTTTTCTTGCAACATTCATTTATCAAGCAAATCTGAGACCTCATACTAAACATTGTGGGAGGTAACAGGATAATGCCGAGGGTAACTAAGGAGCTACTGCGATGCTGGTACATAAAGGAACGGGAACGTCTAGAATGAAGACATGGGGCTCTATCTGGTGAACTAATTGGATGGAAAGGAACACAAGAATATATGAAAGCAAAAAATAAATATGTAATTTGCATGTAGTACAGATATTATTTTGGTATAACATGGCTATTGCAAAAGATACAGAGGCCATGATAGATTTTTGAGTTCATTACATATTTAGCAGTGCCCCTTTGTAATATTTAACATTGCTGTACATATTTTTACAGCATCTTCTGGTTGCTGGTTAATCAATATAATTACCTTCTGATGATTAAAAAAGTAAGCTAAAAAACTGTGACATGTCACATGTTAGAGGGCACCATGTTGGCTGTTACATGTATATGTACATATATACATACATATATATATATATATATATATATATACATGTTTCTGGATATTCTACAAGCTACATGTGTAGTCATTATAGGTTCCTGTTTAGATGTGCTAAACTTAATTTTCCTGTTGTGTTCTCAAAGTTATAGAGCAGTTCACTTCTTTGTTACATTTTTTGTCTTTGTTCTTGTTAACGCTAGTGCTAGACCAGCCACCATCTTGAGTTAGAAGCTTGCTGCTCCTGGCGCGCTATTGCTGTATAATCTGTAGAACTTGTCTTGATCAGGACTGGTAGATTGTGAAACAAATGCAATGGAGAATGATCCAGAATATGAAAATTATAGACAAGTTATATTTGACACATTGCTCTCAGAGACTTCTTTCCCTTGGTCATGAGTAATACATTATCCAACTTTGCAGAAGCATCTAATTGCACTGTGTTCTACCAAAACACCTGCAATTCGCTAACATAAAGAACTGGCTGAAGCTTAGACTTGCCTTGGAACTATATAACAATAACACCAGTGATTGAGCTTGGAAATTTATGAATGAGAAAAAATTGGAAATGAAATTCATATTGTCTGGTTGCAGAATAATGGAGTTAAAAGTACTATGAAAATGCTAAGTAGGTAATGTGTGTAAGTCTTTCTTTCTTTGGCTTACATGTGATTGTTGAATCACCCTAGTTAATTCAATGTAGTATATATGCTCTGGAAATTTTTGTTTTCTTTTATTCTGTTATGCACACTAAAGTTACTGCCAAGATATTTATGCTCTATGCATTTAGAAATGTTAATTATTCCACTGGTAAAGGTTGCTACCTTTTCTGCTCAGACAAAAGAAGCACTATTAAGTAATCAAAACCCCCAAAATCAAACAGCAATTCTGCCATAAGCAGTAGGATCTTTGCAATAGTAGCAATAATCAATTAAGCATCAAGACACTTTAATTACAAGTACCTTATTCACTTTAAAAAAAGTTATTGCAATAGTTGTCTGCTTCGCATGAAATAAAAATATTACTCCAAATAGTTTAATCTAAACTGACCCCTTTGCTTTCCCCAACACAAGTTTCCCACTAAAAAGACGTTTGAAGGGTTCTTTTAATTTATATTTTGTGAAGTAATAATACTGATGTTTGTAAAATGAAAAGAAAATCAACTCTAGTAGTCTAGTGGTAAGTGGTAACACTAATTACCAATCGTTTTATAATGTATTTTATTGTGTTGTATTGTATTGTATTGTATCGTTTTATAAATACAATGTTTGGATATATTGTATTGTTTGCAGTTGTTAAATAACATTTTGCTGTTTAGTTTGACTGTATCGTACTGTACTGTAACTGATAAGTTTACTAAAATACCCTCAATTATTTAAATATTAAATATATCAATAATTACGCATAAAAATAATTTCAGAAAACCCCTTTCTACTAATTATCACCAAATATGTCTTAAAAATAGATTAAGCAATTAAATTCATGCAAATTCTAACAAAATTAGCAATTTTAGGTTGGAGTTGGAAGCGGTAGAAGTTCCGGAAAAAAAGGGACAAGACAAAGTAGGTTATAGATGGGGGATTTAGAGTTAAAATAAAATAAAATAAAAGGTAAACGGTAAAATAGAATTATGGAGTAATAAATTTAGGCATAATTGGAAAGAAAAATAGGAAACAATCCCACCACACCAAAGCAGTTGTTTAAAAAAATAGAACTTTTTATTATTAAGAAATAATAAATTTAATAATACAATACAATCAATTTTAATAAAAGGATTAAGCAATAATAAACGAAATTAACACATCCATGCGACCATGCGTTTACTTATCTATATGTTAGTCAAGCAGCGATAGTAGTCTTCTCAGCTCTTTTCTTCTCCCTCTGCATCTCCACTCCGGCTTGCCTTGTCATTTATTTTCTGTGAGTTTTACACATTTTATTTATAAAAAACATATGAAGAAATTAACGTAGCTTTTATTTCTTTGTTCCAGTGTTATTATCCACAGACCACATATGTGTGGTGTCGAAATTGAATTATTCCTATGGTTGCTGTGATCTCCAATTAGATCCATTCTCCGTAAACATAGACTTAAAAAATTCTTGATATATTTTTTCAAAGTGGGTGTGTTTCGGATAGAATTCTATTTGGAGGTTTTGTCACTATTCCCTTCTTTTCTAGTTGTGCTAAACATACCTTTGTAGGCATCTTGATGTCATTGCTGTGAACCCTGTGGTTCTTCACATTGCTCAATTAATCCTTGTGTTGGTGTTACTATACTTGCCCCTGATCTGGAAAAGTGCTAGAGATAAACCTTGGCAGATCCGTGAGTTGTTGAGAGTAATGGCTTATGCTGCCGTTAACTCTCTAATTCAAACTTTGGAGCTATTCCAGAGGACTTACCCAGCTATGATCAATGGTCAAGTTGCTGAGATGGTTGACTCCTTGCATGCTAATGCTGAGTATTTCCAAAGAATTCTTGAGAACACTAGCCAACAAGTATATGAAAAAATCAAGGATTTGGAGGGAGGGATGAGAGCTGCGGTGCAACATGCTGAAGATTTGCTTGAATCAAATATTGTTGGAATTTTGAGAGAGCGGTACAATCAACAAAAAGAGAAGAACAATGGGGCCAAATGGACTATTCAAGATGAAGCAAGGGTTCTACTTCAAGACTTGCCTCAAGCGATAGACAAGATTGATGCAATGAGGAAAGACTTGGCCAAGGTTATTGAGAGTAGCACCTCCAATGTCAATGCCAATGCCTATGGCACTAGCACTAGTCAGGATCATTATGTCAAACCAGGAGATTCTTCGTCCCCAAAGCGTGATTCTACTGTCCTTCTACAGGAAGCTACTGTGGGTTTGGATAATGCCTTGACAGATATTACTAATCGTTTACTTGGATCAGCTTTTGAGCGGGAAGTTATTCCTATTTTAGGGATGGGTGGATGTGGGAAAACAACGCTTGCCAAAAAAGCTCAAGATGATCTTTCAATCATGTCTCGTTTTGATATCCAAGTGTGGGTTACAATATCTCAGGAATATCACTTGAGAGAAGTACTGCTAAGCCTTGTATGTTCTGTTGCGGGGAATAAGTTTCAAGATATGAGTGACGACCAGTTAATGGAGAAGGCATATAGAGCACTGAAGGGTCGGAAGTATCTTATTGTAATTGATGATGTTTGGAGTACAAAAATCTGGGATGTGATGGCAAGAATTCTTCCCAATGACAACAATGGGAGTCGAATCATTTTGACTACGAGGCTTAAAGATGTAGCTGAGTATGTTAACTCTGATATTCCTCCTCATGAAATGATGCCATTGAGTTTAGATGACAGCTGGAAGTTACTTTGCGATAAGTTACTTAGTGAAGACCATACTTGTCCTTCTGAATTGGAGGAAATCGGGAAGAAAATAGTAGGAAAATGTCAAGGACTCCCTTTAGCAATTTTGGTGGTTGCAGGGCATCTCTCAAAAGTTGGCATGACGAAAGAAAGCTGGGCGATTTGTAGCTAAAAATGTGAATAAAGTTGTTACTAGTTATCCGGATAAATGCCTAGCAGTACTTGCTATGAGTTACTATCACCTGCCTATTCACTTAAAACCTTGTTTCCTCCATTTAGGAACATTCCCCGAGGATCATGAGATTGATGCTTGGAGATTGATCCAATTGTGGGTTGCAGAGGGGATTCTAAAGAGTAATAAGTTAAGAAGCCTGGAAGAAGTAGCACAGGATTGTTTGGAGGATCTGGCTAGTCGAAATTTAGTAATGGTCACAAGGAGGAAGCTCAATGGTCAGATCAAAAGATGCGGTATGCATGATCTGTTGCGGGATCTGAGCGTGAGTGAAGCTGGAAAAGAAAAGTTTTTGAATTTGATTAGGAATATTAATCGAGCTCCTAATTTTCCAACACATAATTGTAAGGTTCCTCGGTTTAGTTTGCATGCTCACTTCTCATTGGAAAAGTTTTCAGACTCCTCACAGGATGTGCGGTCCTTGTACATTTTCAAGCAACTTCTTGGACCGACTGGAAGAACTGCAGAATTCAAAGCTTTAAGAGTGTTGGTTTCCATTCCTAGGCCTATTTTCAAGTACCACCATTGCTTAACATCAGATTCAGCTTTCTTGAGATACCTTGAGATTCGTAGAGGCAATGATCTCACTGAATCACTTCCATATTTGTATAATCTGCAAACCTTTATTTTCAAGCATGATAAATTAAAATGTGATGCAGTTTTAACTTTACCTGACTATATCTGGAATATGAAGCAGTTGAGGTACATCCATATTCAACATTGCATTCATTTACCCAATCCTCAAAGTATTTCAAGCACCAATGTGGAAGACAGTAGAAGTGATTTGGGTCTCCAACATCTACAGGAGTTTTCGCGTCTATGTTTTGCTAGCTGTACAAAGGAGGTACTTTCTTGCCTTACTAATCTAAAGAAGTTGAGGATTGCCAATATACAAGAAGACATCAATGGTCTTGAGGGAACACCTGGCAGCCTAATCAATCTTGTCTACTTAAAGAAGCTTGAATCGCTCTACCTGTCTTGTGAGATGTGGGAGCTCTCGTCTCCCCTTGCGGACAGTTGTTCTTTCCCAATATCTCTTAAGAGGTTGACCATATTCAGTGGTAGGCTTTCGTGTGAAGACATGACAGTTCTTGCAAAGTTGCCAAACCTCGAAGTGCTCAAACTCAGATGGGTTGAATTCAGGCCTTCAGTATGGAAACTAAATGATGAAGATCAGTTCAAGCAGCTAAAGTTTCTCCTACTTGTTGATAACACATATATAAAGCAGTGGGAGGCTAGCAGTGTTAACTTCCCAAATCTTCGACGCCTGGTGCTCCATCAAATCAGGAATCTGAAGCGAATCCCTCTAGCCTTTGCAGAAATCTGCACCTTGGAGTCAATTGAGTTGTATATGTGCTCGCGGAATCTTGAGAAATCAGCAAGAGAAATTCAAGAGGAAGTATCTTCTGTTGCGGGGAACGATTGCCTTCATATTGACATCTATAATGGTAGGTCTCAAATTTCAATTTGTGTCAAAATAATACTTAGAGTGCTGCTTATTTACTTTTCTGTGCTCCTCAGATGTATCTATATGTTTCTCCAAATTAATTACTCAGGTTACATTAGTCTCCCTTCCCTTTCTCACAGTATGCTGCATTATTTTAAAACTTTTATTAGTTTCTCTGCCAAGCATTATTTGATTTCTTTGCTAATTAATAATGTTGAAAACGAAAAAGAGTTATTGGTTTCTCTTCTCATTTGCAGATTATCACACTTATAAAAGACGCGTTTGAAGCGCTTAAGCTTCCGTCAAGTAACATGAAGCAATATCAGTCCCGATGATTTCACGTTAAAATCAGAGTGGCTTCTCTCTATGCTCTTCTTACTGCTATAACATTTTAGGGTTGTAGTAATAGTACTGTTTTTCTCTCTTTCATCCTTCTTTCTTTTCTAACGATTTAACTCTCCTTTTGTTCTTTTGAATATTTCACGCTTCTTATTTGTAGCCTAAATCTCCTTAGACTTCATTTTGAGATGTACTAATTTGTAGTATTAATCAGAGATGCTAGCTATTTTAATGAACTCTCCTTTCCTTTTTTTGTTTTGTTTTTGAACTTTCCTTTTTCACTCTTTCTATTTGTAGCTCCTTAGACTTCAACTTTGACATGTACTAAGTAACTTTTATTGATCAGATATGTTATTTGTAGCACATACTGCAATCTTGTCTTGTATTAGAATCTCTTTTCTTGCCTTTATCTCTTGGTCCAATTAATTGTTAACTGCCCTTCCCCTCTAAATTTTTTTGTGGTCAATTTGCAAGTAGCCTCTGATCTTCAGTTAGTTCCTTCTTTCTTTTCCTTATTCACACTCTAATAAACCAGGAGAAGAAGTATATCTTTTTTGATCTTTCATCTTCCCTTTTCCAGCTTCTGACTAAAGCTATGTCCTTGCACTAAATCGAAATATCATTCGTGTTAAAATCTATATTAAATAGTTCATTACCACATAACTTAGCTCTGATGTTCAAATTTATTCAGAACATCAGCAAAAGCGGAAGCCTTCAACTGGACTGGATGTTCAAGTTTATTCTACTCGTCTACACATGATTTTTAGCAATACACTTAAATTAAAAGGCAACTGTCTGTGACACCTTAACGCCGTCACTGACCCATGTGTTAAAGGCTTTAGCCATTAGTGACTGTAAAAAATTCAAGAGAGAGCAGGGAACTCCAGCTCCAACACTGGACAGTACAATTTTTTTAGTATCGGCAATATCGAAAGCCTTTCACGTGATTTCCATATTGACCTTGTCTGTGGATCTAGAATTAATGAATTAAATGGCATCCCAGTGCGCAAATCAGAAGCTGGCCTAACGTGATTTAGCAGCCATTAATGACTGCAAACAAGTGGTACTCAGAAGCAAGAGAGAGCACCGATCGAGTCAAACAATTATAATTCTTTACTCAAAACATCGGCAAAAGCGGAAGACTTCATGCAAATTTATGGAAGTCAACTCCCAAAGCTGGATTTGTAAGTTTTTTATTCATGAAATCGGAAAAATCGGAAGTCTTTTCAATTTTTGTGATTGTTTCTTGATCTCTGTGGACGAAGATAACCATCTGGCATTAGTTTTGAAAGAGTTTACAGTTAATCTTGAAAGCATTTCCCTCCGACTATTAAGAGTGATGTCCTATCCTGCAGTGAACTCTCTAATTCAAACTTTGGAGCTATTCCAAACTACTTACCCAAATTTGATCCATGGTCAAACTGCAGAGATTATTGACTCTCTTCGAGCTAGTGCTGAATATTTTCAATATATTCTTGAGAACACTAGCCACCAGAAACATGAATTTGAAAAAATTGAAGACTTTGAGGGAGAGATGAAAACTGCGGTGCAACATGCTGAAGATCTGCTTGAATCAAATATTTCTGAAATTATGAAAGAGCGGTACAAGAATCATCAGGAAGAGAAGAAGAATAATGGGGCCAAATGGACTATTCAAGATGAAGCTAGGGTTGTACTCCGGGACTTGCCTCAAGCAATGGATAAGATTGATGCAATAAGGAAAGACTTGGCGCAGGTTATGAAGAGTAGCACCTCCACCAATGTCAATGCTTCCGGCAATGCCGCTGCTGATGATAACATATTCAAAACGGTAGATTCTTCGTTTCTGAAGCATGCATCTACTACCCATTTACAGGCCACTACGGTGGGTTTGGATCATGCCTTGATGAAAATCACTGATCAACTACTTGGATCATCCTCCGGACAAGAAGTCATTCCTATTTGGGGAATGGGAGGAAGTGGGAAATCAACACTAGCGAGAAAAGCTCATGATGGTCCTTCAATCATGTCTCGTTTTGACATTCAAGTGTGGGTTACAATATCTCAAGAATATCACTTAAGAGAAGTGCTACTAAATGTTGTTCATAGCATTACAGGGAATGAGTTTCCAGAAATGAGCGATGACCAGTTAATGGATAAGTCATATAAAGCGCTCAAGGGTCGGAGGTATCTTATTGTCATTGATGATGTTTGGAATACAGATATTTGGGATCTGATGGCAACAACTCTTCCAGAGGACAGAAATGGTAGTCGAATCATTTTGACTACGAGGCTAAAAGATGTGGCTGAGTATGTTAACTCTGATATCCCTCCTCATGAAATGAAGACATTGAGTTTAGATGATAGCTGGAAGTTACTTTACAACAGGTTGTTCGGGGCATGATAATTGTCCTTCTGAATTGGAGGAAATCGGGAAACAAATAGTAGGAAAATGCCAAGGACTACCACTGGCTATTCTGGTTGTTGCAGGGCATCTCTCCAAAGTTCCCATGACAGAAGAAAGTTGGGCAACTGTAGCTAAAAATGTAAGTAAAGTTATTACAAGTTATCCGGATAAATGCCTAGCAGTACTTGCTATGAGTTACCATCACTTGCCTATTCACCTCAAACCATGTTTCCTCCATTTGGGGATATTTCCTGAAGATTGTGAGATTATTATAGCGAGATTGATCCGACTGTGGGTTTCAGAAGGATTCCTCAAGTGTGATAGGTTGAAAAGTCCAGAAGAAGTGGCAGAGGATTGTTTGGAGGATTTAGTCAGTAGAGATTTAGTAATGGTTAAAAGGAGGAAATTTGATGGTCGGATCAAAAGTTGTGGTATGCATGATCTGTTGCGAGATTTGAGTGTGCATGAAGCTAAAAAAGAAAAGTTTTTTGATTTTGCAGCAGCAACAAATCGTGAGACTCCTCGCTTTAGTTCTCATACACGCATTTACGTTGAGGCATCTCCGTTCTAATGGCCAAACCATATATTTACCCAATCCACAAGACGCGGAAAACAGTAAAAGTGATTTGGGTCTGCAACACCTACAGGAGCTGGAGTCGCTATGTTTTCTTTGTTGTACAAAGGAGGTACTTTCTTGCCTTACTAACCTAAAGAAATTGACTATTTCTGGTTACACTAGAGGAACCTGCATTAATTATAAAGTTATTGAGGAAACATCTTGGAGCCTACTAAATCTTGTCTACTTAAAAAAACTTGAATCACTTGGCCTCTATTTTAACGCCAAGTTAGAGCTCTCGTCTTCTCTCGCAGAGAGTATTTCTTTCCCAATATCACTAAAGAAGTTGACCTTGATCCGAACTCGTCTTCCCTGGGATGACATATATGGCAATACTTGCCCAACTTGGAAGTACTCAAACTAAGTTGGAATGCGTTTTTGGGTCAAGTATGGGAACTGAATGATGAAGATCAGTTCATGCAGCTAAAGTTGATAAGACACAGCCATATCAGTGGGAGGCTAACAGTGTTAACTTCCCAAATCTTCGATGTCTAGTGCTCTCGGAAATAGGGGTGCAGCTAAAGGGAATCCCTCTAAGCTTTGCGGATATATGCAGCTTGGAGTCAATCGAGTTGTATAAATGTTAAGGCCGCATAGGCGGATCCAAGATTTGATGGTTACGGGTGCTACTCTGGGACGGATGCACATTTATCGAAGCGGTGTCACGCGATATCGCTTCGTCAATTTATTTTTTACTAATGTATTAATACTATGTGGAAGCGGATAAGTAGGAAAAAGTGAAACCAATTGACATAAATTATCTGTTGGCGAATTGATTATGTGCTTGATTTTGCTCTAAGAGGTCAGAGTTTCAAACCTCAACTAGCACATCTTTTTTTGCAAATATTTGAGAGAATCTATGTGGTTAAAAATTGTGATGAAATAGAATTTAATTCAAGATTTTTTTTAACTTAAGACTCAACAAAATCAATAGACTAAAGTTATTTCTCATCTAGAAGTATGATAACTAAAGTTATTATTCCGGTTTTTCTATAAATTTCGACAATACTTACAAAAATTTCTATGTATGCCCCTGGTGCCATTGCTTTTAATGCAAACCAACCATAGTGAAGAGATTGAACGTGGATGTACATTTAGTCGGTTCGATACATTTTTTATTAATTCGGTTTGATTTGGTCCAATTTGAATTAATTCAATTCAATTTAAAAGATTATTTTATGCATAAATAAATATGTTATCACAAAATCGAATAGGTTCTATCCAATTCGGTCTAATTCTCTAGATTCAAATTCGATTAATATGATTAAAAAATATATAGTAAAATAAAATTTTAAATTAGAAAATACACCACTTTAATCTACATATAGCTCAATTAATATTATGTCTTTGATACATCACTCTAATTTCTAAAAGTAATAAAACTACATTAGATGGATAAAGGAAATGATTAAAATCACATTCAAATAAATTTGAAGATCTAGAAAAAGAAAAAAAAAAAGAAAATATACAATTTAAATAAATAATAAAAAAGAGATGGTACAAATAAAGTGAATAACAAAGGTGAAGAAATTAAAACAATTTAAAAGGAGCATAAGGAAAAGAAAGGGAAGGGAAAAAAAGATAAGAACAAAACAAATAACAAGGATTGCACTAGAGTTTCAATCCTCGGCATTTATGTGGATTTTTAGTGCTTTAACCGTGGCACCTGCAGTCATTTTGTGACTTGGGGTGCCACCCGTTATATATGTTAATATTTTGAGAAAAATACCAGTACATGTATACGATTTTACTCGAGCGATCGGGTGACGTACCACCCCCAATTCCTTACATAGATCCGTCCCTGATTACGGTCTATCTATATCTATGAAGGTACTCCCTCCGTCTTATATTATCAGTCATGGTTGCTAAAAATAATTATCTCAAATTATTTGTCATTTTAGAAGTTCAAGACAAAATTGATTATTTTTTTCTTTTTTACCCTTAGTAATAATTATCTTTGAAGACTACAAACATCTCAATTATGGATAACTTTGTTCAAATACCAATGAAGAAAGATTAAATACTAAGACATGAATAAGGATAAAGTAGTCAAAATCTCATCCTAATTAATTTTTTTTAAAGCACGTGTACAAGAGAATCATAACAGATAATTTGAGACGAAACGGATAGAGTAAGTTTCTAATATATATAATGCGAATTTGAATGATCATTGAACTAGGTGAACAACATAAAATAATATTTCTTTCTTTTATATTAGGAAAGTTATTTATCTTTTGTTATCTAACTCTTACTCTTTTCTCTCATTTGTATCAGAAAAATCTATATTCAAACACTTTTTAATGATGTGATACCTAACAAAATTCAAGTGTCATGTTATTCGGCTTGAGT